AGCATATTCATGCGACTTAAATGGCTTGTTCTCGTACATTTACGTTATGTTTCTTTAGTTATTTTAGTCCTTTATGCTTCTTTTGTGTGTTTTCAGGATCATAAGACGTGTATTGACGAAAGGATGCATTGTGGAGTGTTTTGGGGCCTTTTGGAGCACTATTGGGCTAAGGATGGATAGCTTATGCTTGGAGCCCAAGTGTTGGATGAAATTGAAGGCCTTGTATGCACTTGAGGACACAAAACAATGGCCCTAACCCAATTACATAACACCTTGCCATGGGCTTAACACAAACACCATTCCTTGCCATGCAAGGGGGAGCAATTTGGGTCCATTTTATGCACTTAAACCCTAGCCCAATTACACACCATTGCATCCAAATCCATTCTTTGCCATGCACATTCACCACCAATTCAACCACATGCACTTATTCCTCCATCATTGCACAACATTGCAGCCACATGCACCAAAAACAACCCATTGCCGTGCCTTCCCTTGCCATTTTCAGCCATCACACTTCATCATTGCAGCCACCATTCACCCTAGTTGTCAATCACATACTTTCCCATTGTATAATACATCCACATGCATCTTTAACCAACAAACAAATCAGCCACAACACTCAAACACACTCAATGCCGTGGGGTACCATGCAATTCCAGCAATTCCAGCTTTCCAACCTAGCCACATTCACATGCATTCACTCATAATCATTCACCAAACTTGCAGCCACATTTCCACCTATTCCTAGCTGTCATGTTCCCTCTCATTTACCTATAAATAAGCATGCATTGCAGCCACAATTCATTCATTCCATTCACCACAAAACATAACACAAAACACCATCACAAACACAACCTGTTTTTCCGTGCAAATCCCCTTCCATTTCTTCTCTTTTTTCCTCCATTGCAGCCACTCCAACCATTCCCCACTCCATTCCACATACACCTAAAGCCCTAAACATCTCCTTAGACCTTGTGCCACAACGAAGAGAAAGAGAAGAGTGCCTAAACGTTCATACAATTCAAGTTTGAGTTGTTGGAATGTTTAGGTGTTTCTTTGATTTCAATGTTTAAATTCAATTCTCTTTGTCTTGTACGTATGAGGAACTAAACCCCCTTTAGCTAGGGGGTGATTCGAAACTATGTTTATGCTTGCAATATGAATTGATTACCTTTGGTTGGAATTTCATAAGTTGTGAATTCAATTTGTTTAACCGTTTGATTGATAACTTATTTATGTATGTTTATTGAGAGTGCACGCTTAATTTTCATGCATGAATATGACGCTAGAATATAAGTGAGTTTCACCTAATCGTTATGAACTTATATTCACAAGTAGTGGAGGTTGCTTATAAACAATCGCGTTGAATGAATTCTTGGCACTAGTTTCATGCTCATCATAGTAACGAATGCCTCGTCAACACTTATAGTTTTCATGATGCTTAATGATCTTTGATTGTATCTTTATTGTGCTTTTCACGTAAAGGACTTTTGGAGAATGTTGTGAATTGCGTTGCGCAAACCCATCCAATCCATTAACTTAAGGAAAACTTGACGGTTAATTTAAGCGAACCTAATTAACCTAGGGTGTTGAGTTTCATAATTTATCGAAAGACCAACTGAAAATCATTTTGTATGCAAGTGTAACATGTGTGGAGAAGAACCCCTTGGCTATTCCATCATCCATATTTTTATCACATTCATATTTACGTTTTGTCCTTAATTATAATCTTTCCATTTAATTTAATCTCGCCCAAACACATTTCCCCCATATTTCGTTGAGTCTTAATCATTCATATTTGTTTTATTTTTGTGTTTTTAAGTATTTGAAGTCGTGTGTACTTGCTTTGCGTTTTTGTTAAGAAGTTAAGTGTTTTAAAAGCTAGTTTTATTTATTTAAGTCAAGTGTTTAGCACCCCTAGTTAATCCCCGGTTAGAACGATCCCTACTTACATCATTACTACAATTGTCACAAATAGGGTTTAATTTGTGTGCGTATAAATCTCGCATCAGGATCTAATTCAGAAATTTCATGGCAAATAGACTTTACCTTGTGGAAATACTGCGCAATCGTCATGCCCCTTTGGGCCACTGATAATAGCTCGTTCTCGAGAAGCTACAGTATTGTATCGTTCCTCTTTGAAAAGAGTGTGGCGAAGGTGTCCCATGCTTCTTTTGGTGTCTTGGCCTTCCGTATGTGCTCTAACATGTCATCTTCAACTGTAGTTTTTAAGGCAAACATGACCTTACCTGCCTTAATCTTCCACTTCCTCAAAGTGCCGCTGGTGTCTTTTTCTGGCTGCGTAACTTCATTACCGACAACGACATCCCAAAGATCTTGGCCTTGTAGGTAAAACTCCATACACGTCACCCATGTGTTGTAATTTTTGTTGCTTAACTTTTTTATTCCTCCAACAACTTGAAGGTCTCCCATCGTGTCGACAAAGCTTCGATAAGCCAAACAAGATTAACGAATAATCTTGCGAAGTACTAAACTTCTCACGATTCTCAAAAGCTTCAATAGAGACGGTCCCTGATCGTACCGCTCTGATACCAATTGTTAGGGAAAAAACTTAGAATACACAATTCTAACACAAGTGTTGGAGAGACAATACAAGTAAACAAATTACTTGTATTACACAAAAAAAATATTACAACACTCTCAAATGACACTCTTAGAAGCAATGACACTCACTCACTTTCTAGAGACACACTCTAGATCACTCACACTACTACAAAACTATTATTTCTTCTCACTCTTACTTGATTGATTGCTTGCTTGCTTGATTACAGGCTTAATTGGTTGCCTACTTCTACTTCTTGATTTCTTGGTTGGTTACTTACAACACACACACACACACACACCCCTATTTATAGGTGGTGTTGACCGACTACAATTGCCCACCGTCATTGGGCTTTGTATGGCAGCCACACAATTGTACAAGCAGCTAGATCTTTCTAGCTAATGATCATGCACTGCCACCGACATGCTTTCTTATGTTTTCCTAGTTTCTAGTACATTCGAATTACAAACAAACATAATTAATCATGGCCAGAAACGTCTAGCACATTTGCATGCACTGACCACCTCCCATGCACATTTGAATCTCCAGAACCTTCTAGCTAGTACCACCGACATAGTATTTTGCTAGAGTTGTCTAGCATCCAAACACCAATTAGGCTGGTGTTGATCTTCAACACTCCGGTGATGGAAACACTGTGGTAAGGCCAATGTACGGTCCTTAGGGGTTAACTTCTCTGATTAGATTCAAATATTTTCAGTTTAACGGAAAAGAAAACAAAGAAACAACTAGGAGGCTGATCAAGACCAGCATAATGAAGCATTTCGACACCTGTTTTGCAGTCATGGCCGCGACGTTAGAAAGAAATTGTTGAAAAAATTTGGACTTGCTGATCAGAATTACTTGCCCCTGAAGACCTTGTATAAGCTTCATTACTCTGACTACAGTGCAGGCCCTTCACCATCAAAGTTTGAAATTATAACAAGGCACAGAGAATTATTAGTGTCTAAACTTAAAGAATATAATGACACTGATAATCATCTGCGTAACATTTCAAGCAGTTCAACATTTACTGATATAGCAGTAATTCAACAAGAGTTGTATATTGACACCGATAATCATTCACTTATTGAACGGGGTTCTTTGGTCGGTCTGCGATCCTTGGTTGCTGGAGGCATCCTTGGATAAGTGACCAGGGTTCTATGGTTGGTCCGTGACCCCTGGATGCTGAAGGCATCCTTGGGGTGGAAACGATGGGGTTGGTCCATGAATTTCTGAATGACTTCAAGCTTCAAATTTTTATCACAGTTATGAAGTGATTCAGAACTTGAAAATCGCCGCGGTGCACTTCTCTTTACTTTTCCATTAGAGCAACTCCATCGCTGCTAAGACCCCCCCCAGGGCTGTTCACTATTTAATCCACCCAGTGAATAGTAATTGCCCATAATAGACAGTAACTGCCTTTTGCATCTTCACATCTACACTGAATAGCCTTAGCAATAGGCAATAGGCAATAAAATCATAGTATTTTTTTTATTTATTTATAAAATAATACAAAATAATTATTTTAAGAAAAGTAAAAATTAAAGATTAAAGATTAAAGATGCAAATTCCATTGCAAAGTTAATGCAGCTTCTCACACTAGTCAAATTTTGACTAAAGTTTTCATCTTTAAAACAATTTGCTCAAGCAATTAACTAATCAAATTATGCAATTCTAATTTCTAATTAGGAATTAGAAACAATTAGCTAATTCGGAACTAAAGAATTCAACTTTAAAGAATTTGATTTAGTTAATTAGTTAAATTATGAAAAATTACGAACTGTTAATCAATTCGGAAACTTTGAGCTGACCTCATCCTCTGCAGAGCAGTGGTACTCATACGCGAGCTTAAGGAACTCAAATCGGCGCAGAAGCTGGAGAACAAAGTTGCGGTCTTGGCAGTCACGTGATCCACTCTCCAAGGCGGCGGTGGTCACGAGGCGGAGATCGAGGAGCTCGGCCTGCAGCGTATGAGGCATTGGGGAGAATCGTCAGCGAGAAGCTTACCCTCCGTCTCCGGGATATCGACGTCACCAGCGAGATCGACCTCTGTGAAGAGCTGTCCAGACCAGTCCACCACTGCATCAGGGTGTTGCCGCTCTTCGAATCTGTCCAGGCCCGTCCACAACGTGGCTGACATCGTCTAGACGTCAGCCTTGCGTCACATGCCCTTCAGGCTCTCGGGTTGGCAACTCCTGCCAAGCCTCTCCCTCGAGCCCGCTCGGGCTCTAGCGCCAATACACGCTAGACCAAGTTGCTCAGGCTTTCTAGCCCTATTTGAGAGCCAATCCATTGGGCTATTGCCCACGGTGGAACTGCTCTTATGGGGCGCAGATGTTTCTAACACTTAATTGCAACAGCATCCATCTCAAAGTTATGAACAAAATGCAACAACTTCACATCTCATTTGGTTTCTTTAGAGAGACATCATATCTTTCAATGCAAAGATATTTAAAATTTCATTAACTGGATTGTAATTTTAAATACAATATGCAAGTAATGATCTCAACCCCTTTACAGACCCTACAACTTAGGACCTCAGAGAGTACAAAATTATGCCACACAGAGCATGAAACGGGCGAAAAACCCTTATCGCATGCTTAGTTCTAGGCATGGGACGGGAGCTTTGCACCTTGAAAAAGATGAATCCGCAGACGCCGACCTCTTTCATTAAATAATAATTACCCAGGGCACATCTTTGTTCCTCCACACTATGATGATATCCAAAAAAAAAAACTCTGAAAACCACGCACGGATTTCACCTATTTTGAAGCCCCTCAATTGCCTTCTTCCACTGCCAAGCTCTTTGTTTGGCATCCTCAAATTGTAGTACCTTTTTCGGCTGAAAATTTTACATAACTTGAAATCAGAAAAGGAAAAATAAGGATAATGCAACTACTTAAAACTTGAGAAGCAATTTCATCAACTCAACGCTACAGCATCGCATTTCACGGCACTAAAGAATTCAATGTCATATTATCGTAAATACATTGGAAAGCACTCAGTAATAAAGCCATGCCACAAAATATTAAGGGAAAACCGACTGAAGATAATATGTGACTGAGATATGAAAGAGTAGTAAGGGCATACCGTACAAATCTTGAACTGTGATGGACTTGCGACTTGGATGCTCAAGTCATTAGAGTTGTCGGACCAAATTATATTTCCCTTCACTATTAGCTTTGCAGGATCCACATATATCAGTTTCGGCTTGTTGGTGAGGATAAGCTGCACCTTCTTGCTTGTCAGCTTTTGAATTTTCTTCACCATTGAGATCATAAGAACGGACTCCCCGGGCTCAAGGAATTGTTGCCTGTTAGCATGGTAAAACACAGATTAAAACATCGATGTGGAATTCATAACAGAAGCAGCAAATGCAATATCATAAACTCTCTGCAGGGGTTTTGGGAAGTACTTCCGGGATAAAGGACGTAATTAAAAATGCTAAAGAAAATAGAACAAAACAATTAGCCTCCAATCAAGTGAAATTATCTCATTTAAGCATATATTTGGATCTGAGACACTTTTCAAGAATAACATTATACTTATTACACAGAAGTTCACCACAAACTTTGTAAGCAAAAATATCTAGTTCTTAAAGTAAAAATAAGTGATGATAAACATGAAGCAAGGGTGTCGAGAATACCATTTTGAATCAAACGAATCAATTGAAGCGAGCCTAGTTACATGACCAGATCCTTCGGAAGAAGATGTGGCACCACTGTTACCCTCATTTTGTTTTGCTGCACCATCTCCAATGTGTGTGGGGTTCCATGAGTTATCACGGCTATCACCCTCAACTGACTGAACACCAAAAGCATAAAAACCAATGTTTAACAATCTAAAAATGCTCAAGTAAAAAAAGGAATAATATAAGGAACAGTTGATTTCCATAAATAAATACTCCAACAAAAAATTGAAAGCCATACCCCTGTCTCTAATGCAAGTTTTGGAGGAGTTTGTCCTCGTACATTTTTCCAGTCAACTCCCTTAAAAAATGGATGCATCTTCAGTGCAGCATAACCGTCCGGCCCAGCACCTGGTCTCCTGCTGGGATCTAAATCCTGCAACAGTTGCACAACACTAGTTGATCAATATTAAAAAGGAACTACACTTTCTCAAAAAACGCAAGTGGTACATAACTCCATGGCATTCTTAAGGGAAAGAATTTCAATAAGAAATTAAAAATATGGATGTTATTTGCCTCATCCTAAGGGAGTGCTAGTTACCAATAGCACAATCACTAATAAAAGCTAGGTTGCAACAAGTATAAGTGGGTAGCTTACCAATAACCGGTTAATAAGGTCTTTAGCTTCCTCCGAAAAATAATTTGGAAACCTAATATCTCTTGCTATAATTCTTTGGAAAATAAGCCACTCGCTTGCATCTTTGAAAGGAGAAGTTCCTGAAAGCATTTGGTACAAGGTGCAGCCAAGTGCCCAGAGGTCATTTCTGTTTTGATATGTTCAAACGAGCAAAAACAGTGTTATACTACATAGATCATATACTATTAAGAACAGAAAAAATAAACAGGAAAAAAAAAAGACAAAATACTTGTCAAAAGTAGTAAAAAGTATACAAGTTTTAGGGTAAGCTTAAGAATTCATTTGAAATATAGTACAACCCCCAGTGACTAAACATATGTCACTTACCCAAAAGTTGCAGGAGAAGAATTCAGGACTTCGGGAGGAACATAGGCAGCTGTCCCCACAAATGTGCAGGCCTTATCATCTACACGAGGCATCCAGAGAACAATCTCATCATATTATTCAAATTTTAAGCACAGAGCCATAGAGACTTCACCATGACTACAATTATAAGATACCTGATGCTGCATTCGGAAGAACCGTAATTCGGCTATCTTGCATGGGCTTTACACTCCCAAAATCAGCAATCTTGATATTACCCTCTGATGTAAGTAGCAAGTTCTCTGGCTGCCATTTAAAAATATATCAGCATTTCATACGACGTTAAATTGCACAAATATAGTCTTAAGGGAATACCTTTATATCTCTATGAATCAATCCCATACTGTGTATGTACTCAAGGGCGTCTACAACTTCTGCTGCATAGAAGCAAGCTTCATCCTCAGAGAGGCGACCCTTCTGCACACAATTCAAGAATAAAATATATTAGTTACAACATCAAATGAATTATTCTCAATGAAAAAGTAAATGCAGAGGTAATTTCAGAATGACATGAAGAACACATGTTATAAGCTTAAAGCTTACCCTAGTTATTTGATCAAAAAGTTCTCCACCTTCACAGGACTCAAGCGCCATGTCTTCGTACAAAAGTAGGGAGACCAGTGTCAATAAGATCCGGAATTGGAAACAACCAATAAACAACAGAGAATACAAAAACACTGAACCTGAAAGAATAAGTGAATCTGAAACAAGTACAGAAGACATGGGGAGGTTACAACCAGAATACCTACACAATGAAAAGGAATCTTGAAATGTAAAAAATAGCCGCACAATTCCTGGATGATCCAGCTGATCAAGAACAATACGTTCCAACTTCACATAAGCTGTTTTATTTTCTTTGGTGATGAATTTTTTGTCCATGATCTTTAATGCATAGACAGTTCCCGTGTCCTTCTTCTTAGCCCTCACAACCTGAAATTATTGGTAATAAGAGACAAGAACCCAGCAAAGTTTAAGCATTACAAATAGTTCAGAAACCATATGTATACGATATCAAAAAAACATTTATAAGAATAGTGGGCAGAGAACTATCTCTAATTTCTGTTGGAACTGAACCCCATAGAGAGCCCAAAATCTTCGTTTCCCAACTCTCCTTGTAATCTCAAAACTTCTTCTACCAGTTCATAACATATTAACTAGCTAAAAATCCTATGTCCTTAAATTTACTATAAGCTCACAACCTCACACCAACCAATTGCAGGTTTGAAGCTCCACCAGTCCCGAGAGTAAAGAACAGGAACACACCATACACAAGCATCCCAACTTACAACTGATCGACCCATATGACGCTTCTTTTTGCCCGTCCATTACATTGTAAAAGATAATCCCTTTATCGGCCAGTTCACACTAAGTAGCAAAAATTTGGCGAAAATGAGGACTTCCATCAAACCATATGCCTTACAGGGTGAGTTCTTTTGCAACAATTGATATTTTCTACAACCTATAAGCAATTATAATTTTTTTCAATAAATTTACAGCATATGCAACCCATTAGTTTACAAATGAATTACATCATTCAATAACGCGACTAGGCATCCAATTCATGACAATCCCCAATCTGAGAGAAAAATCCAGATGAAAAACGAGCATTTTAATAGAATTAAAACAACAAATTAATCAATAAAATTCCCAAAAACTGGATGAAAAATGGGACCTTGGAGTAGGAACCAACGCCATAGATCTTGCCCAATTCAAAGTCTTGAATGGTGAAATGCTCCTGGGGAGCCCTGAAAGCGAAGCTCTTGGATCTCGGAACATTGCTGTTGGCGCCATTCGAAGAATTCCCCTGAATCTTCAACTTAGCATCAAAATCTTTCTCCATTGCCAACATTATCTTTTCTCCCACAATTCCTCTCTACATGTTGAGCTCTCTCTCTCTCTCTCTAGAAACCCATTTTCTCTCTCTACAGGAAAAGCCTAGGGAGGAGAGCAAAGACCATCACTTGGATGGGAAGAGAGTTCCTTTGTCCCCCTTTCTCGATATTCTCCTCTGTAAAAAGAAAAAGTGAGGTGGGATTGGATTGGACTGGACTGGATTGGATTCCTGATTGTTGAAATCTGGGTATGTGTGTATTCAGAGGAAGGTGATCAGCTTTAGCTTTGGTTCCAATTTCAAAACCCTAGAAAGCAGAGAGAAATTGGATTATTGTGGAATTGGGTAATGGGGAGGAGAGAGAGAAGAGAGTGGAGCAATATTAGTTTTTGGATGGAGGAGAGGAGAGGGAGGTATGGGGATGGAAGAAGAAACGAGAGAGGAGATAGGTAACATGCCACATGGGATTCAATGATGAATGGGTGGATGGATGGCTTCCCAACCCCAAAGGCCCTAAAATGGAAAATTGGAGGGAGTAGCAATGAAATTTGCTCATGCATATGATTGTGTGCTTTTTAAGCCTTTTTATGGAGCTTTGCAAATTTGCAATGTCCAGTGGGCTTCTCTCCAGCCTCCTAGTACCGTTTTGTTTTAGGTCGAGGATTCAAACTTGAATGTATAGATATAGCATATCAACTTTAATCAATGTGATTACGCTCACTTGTTATAGAATTCAGAACACTTTTCCGTCAGACTTATCTAAAACACACAAAGATGTTTATATTATTAGATAGTGATTCGAACCGCAAATTCTGAAAGAAGCTAACCCAATAAAGAGTCTAGATCTATAACACCTTGTGATGTCATATTATGCGACAAGAGAGCATTTAAAATTTTATCATAGCTCCATAAGATACACAATTTCAGCTGTTTTTCACGAGAAAAGTGATGACATAGAAATGGAAGTGCAAATGGTATTTAGATTCAATGGAAGGTTCAATTGGTCCTGTTAGGCAGACAAAAAAACATAAAAATATAGTACTTTAACAAAAAATCCGCAAAACTTTCAGAAGTCGCCAGCAACGGAACACGATTGTGTCATTCAACAACAGTTTTCTTTCCCGAAAGTTCCTACATCGTTTTCTTCCGTTCGAATTCGAAACTATCCATTGCCTGGACCCTGTCCATTTTGTTGATTTTCCTCCTCACCGCCTCCGTTTCTATCTCCATAATGAGCCCATGGTAGAAATGACTCCAACAAGACTGCGATTGCATTTCGATTTGCAACATCGCGTGGAGCATGGCCGCCCTCCACTGGATTGCCAACATTTGCAACGTTACCGGGAGCATGACCGCCCTCCCTTGGATCACCCAAAAATTGTTGCAAAACTTCCGGTGGGGCAGTTGGCACTGACAAAGAGAAATCTGAAACTAACAAGTGGGCGTACCTATAGCAAACAAGTAAAGCAGTCAGTCATTTACCAACTTCAGGCTTAACATCCGCAGTTATAGCTTCGCGAATTTACGCAATAGTGATAAACAAAACACTAGGAAGTGTTGCCGAAATGTAAAATTGTAACTGCATGCTTACTCGTTTTTCTCGGATGAGAATGCCTCTTTTCTCACGCATGCCCAATCGTTCTTCTCGCTACTATCATGTCTTAGTGTCTCGATCACAAGCTGTGCAGCATCCCTCAGCAAATCTTGCAGATCTGGAAGCCTCCATAGAAGAAAATTCCTCTCGACATATATGTTTATTAGGTGATCCAAGGATGGGATTCCTACTTGATCTGCTTGAAAATATGGATTTTTAAGTATCTGTGCCCACACCTTGTCCTTCAAAGGCACCTTTTCCACTAATTTCTTTAGAACAGAGGGGTGAAGCATCAATGCCTGCTTCATAAGATCAGCCGAAGTGGACTTAGCATTTTCTGGTGCACCTTTTGAAGATTCCTCTTTCTCAAGATACAAACGGCAAATGGCAAGGGAATATGAAAAATTTGGAAACAACCACAAGGAGTTATCACTTTTATATTCTTCAGAGAACCGTTCTAGCCATGCATACTCCTCCGCCCTCAATGAAAAATAGTCAATGCAGAACATGGCCCCCATTGGATCATCAGAATCTAGTGAAAGTAACAACTTGCAAACTTCTAAAGCCGATCGATGGCAACCACGCCTATCCATATTTCTCATGTGAGTAAAAAGTACAGTGAACAGAGGCTTGTTTGTTTCATGGCTGTATTTTAGTTGGCAATTGCCCTGCAAGGGGGTGAACATTGGATTCCATGCACATTCCAAAGCATATAAGCACTTCGAGATAAGTTCTGCTGATATTTGATGTTCACCCGAAAACTTATAGTACTCTGCCATGGTTATAAGCGAATCCAAATGATAAGGACTGTATAACAAAATACTTGCAATTCCATTGATGTCATGTGTAGCTTTGGCAGCTTCAAATGCCCTCTGAGCTTGAAGGTAGGATGAGGAATGTACATATCTGCACATAAGATCAAAATCCAGATTACAATGCATGAGTCAAAACCAAACCAAAAGGACGCAGGACAAATATCATAAATCCTAGTCTGAAACTCTAAGCTGTGAGCATAAACAATGTAAAAATAGGAGAAACTAAAATTTGAAAAAATAAAAGGAAACAAGAGTGTTGAATATTTGACTCAAAAGGACAGCCATAATTGCTTAAAGAGCAGGATGCCAGCCATAAAACATAGCTGGATGACGGATGACAAATTTATGACTATATGGTACTAAAGACATTTTAGTAACGAGTGTGCTTCTTTATAATTTCACGCAATCATCAACTAGTTTGTCCAGTACAAGGTAGACATTCAAGTGTTACCAAACGTAACTGATATAGTTTCAAACTTTCAGTCACATAAGAAATTTATGTTAAAAAAAGTTTGTGTTGGGACTACACATATATGCACATCTTAATGTTCCATCAACTTACACAACAATATCCCCATGAATACAATTTGCAAACACAATTCAACCACATTACAATTCAATTCATACTGGCATCAACTGCAGTTGTCTACAACACCCGTTAATTAGAGTTCTGCTAAAGTATTAATTATTACATATTTGAGAACTACTTTCTTGACAACGGTTAACAACTCTCTACATTGAGCTCAAGCCCATCAGTAGAACCAACTTTCTTCTATGTGCAGAAAAAAATTGATAGCACTAACAGTTTTTGTACTCATTTTAAAATACAACACCAAGACAAGAGAATGATCTTACCGAAAGTGGTGGTATCCATCAATCACTCCAAGAAATTCCATGGACAAAGAACCATCCCAGCGATGCCAATGCTCTGATGCAGTGACAAGTATAGTTTTTCTAGGAATATGAGCAGCACGTCTTCCACCACGCACCATTCTAGAACTGCCACCACTTCGCTCATGTTTCTCAAAGGACTTCACCACCTTAGAGCCAAAGATTCTCCGCAGCTCATTTTCAGCATTTAAGTACTTGGGATCCACTTGTAACGCAGAGGGCGCACATGGCTTAGTCAAATTCTCACAACCTTTTCCGCTGGCTGCTTTTTCGGGGCCATCCAAAGAGATCGACTCAAGAATCACATCCAGGGGCTTTTCTACATTGGAAGCACCCGAAGAAGAATAAGAAGCCTCTTTGTTTTTCTTCTTTTTCTTCTTCTTTGATTTCTGATTGTTGGTTGACGCTACACCGACCTTCGTTTTCAGCTCAGGCACAACAACCAAGTGTTCATCAACAGTTTCAGGTTCATCCCCCTGCAACCACCCAAAACCCCATAAAAAAAATTAGAAAATTAGTCAATACACCCCACAACTACAAGTTTTATACAAAAACACTTCACGAGCTCAATCGAGAAAAAAAATCCTCTCGTCTATCCACTTATCATGCTCTAATTGATTCTTAACCTCCCATTACCAATCCAATTGGGGTTTTTTTTCCAAAGTTTCGAGCTTGAAGTGTTTTTCTCTAAAGTGTAACCCTTTTACAGAATCCAACACAAACCCATCACAGCTCGATGATCACTCAGAAAATTGAACGCAAAAATCAACAAAATTTCACCATTTCACTTCGTTCAAATTCTTAAATCCACTAAAAAAAGCAAAATTTTAAAATTTAATTAAAAAAAGTGAACCTGGTGGTCGTCGTCGTTGTCCCCGTCGTCGTTGAGGAGATCGAAGGGATTGAATTTAGCTTTTCCGTTGAGCTGCTGGCTTTCTTCTTCTCCTTCTGATTCGGATTCTATTACGTGTCCGTGTTCTTCTTCTTGTTCCCTCAAAACTTTCTTCAGCATTCGACCGGACATCGTCGAAGTAATCCGAAGCTCGATTCTCTCAAATTCTCAATGTTTTGTAATCAAATCAGTTTCAGCCCTTGAGCCTTCAGTGATTCACCTTCCAGCAAATAAAACCCAAATTGCCAAGAAAACGAGAGCTCGAGGCCGAATTCGATTACTGGTTATCCCAATTGGAGACGGGAAGACTAAAACGACATCACTTCGGTGCTCCTTTGCTCAAATTGCCACGTAAACAATAGTATTGTCATTAACATTTCTTATTAAGAATTAGACGACACACATTTTTTTGGCACACTTATTTATAGTTCATATTTAGAAACTTAATCCTAACTATTTATATTTCAATCCAGCATTTAATCATACATTGTAAAAAATTAGACAAATTCAAAATAAATAAGACATTATGCAGTGAAACAAATTAACGAATACAGTTCTATAAAGAAATATTAAAATTCTATTAATTAATTCAATGGTCATATGGTTGCGGATTAGAGTGACTTTTGGTAAGGATGTCATTTGAGAAATACCTAAGAGCACTTCCACCCCTAACATAAATGCACCAGCACTCAGCGCATTTATCCACTCAGTGAACAATGATAGATCCCAATAAACAGTAATAGACCAAATGCATTTCCACCCCTAACAAAAAATTGCCTAGTCAATTTTATTAAAATATTATTATTTTTCCTCTCAGTCACAAATACGCACGGACACCCAAAAGCGACTCACTTACCAATCCAACACAATCCCAAAAGCTTTCTCTCTCGATGTCTCTCTAGTCAGTCATGGCTGAGAACGAGCACAAACTACAACAACAGCAGCCAGAAGAAGCTATTGTGCTCCTACCTTGGCCTGAGCCTAGGCATTTTCCTGGCTTTAGCTCTCGACAACTTCCAGGAGCTCCAGACCCAAGTGGGCGAGCTCTCTTCCCGGCTGTGGCAGGCGGAAGAGCAAGTCAAGCTCATGAGTTCTCGCTGGAAAGAGGACTCTAAAGCCAACACTAGGGTCATTGAGATCTTCACCAACCACCGCAAGCTTGGCAAGCCGAGGAGAAACGGTTGCTACACCAGATCAACGCCGCCCATCAAGAAATTGGCCACCTCCATGCCAGGATTCTGGAGCTGGAGAAAACCCAGGACGATTCCAGAGCTAGGATTCGGGATTTGGAGAGGGAGGTTGGGAGAGGGACGACATGATTGGCTTTAGCGAAGGTTGAGGGTGTAAGCGTGAGATGATGTCAATCGGGGCGATCCATGCCTCTATCAATTTTGAGCTAACCTGGAGACCAACTTGGGTTGGGTGCCAGCCTATCTACTAAGCTGGGGTGGAAAACCTGGTTGCCGGGCCATTGTTTTGGCTGGGTGCCGACCTATCAGTTCCCCAGTGGAATTGCTCTAAAAGATAAATGATTCAATCATTGAAATACATTATGAAGTGGGCCATAAGAAAGTTGAGAAATACTAAGGAGACTCTCTCAAAGTGAGACTCTCTGTCACCCAATGATGAAGCCACATGAAGAATAGGGTAGGGTCAGACCTATCATGAAATTTCACAATATATACATGTTGTCTACTGGTTTTAACCATATAAAGCATTGGGTCTATTGGTTGTATAAGTTTGACAATCGTAGAGGGGTTTAGGGTTTGAAACTCATCGGACCTATTAACTTTTGGGTTTTTTTTAAAACATAACCTAGAACCTTTTGTTTCTTAAAACCATTATACAAAATTTTTTTGTTTGTTTTAAATCCAACCTTATAACTAAGCTTCTGTTTTACCATAAAACAATTTATTTTCTTTTTATGGTCAGTTCATATAAAATAAGGTCTATACAATTTAGAAGAATATCCAATTATGTTGAAAAAAAAAATCTCATAGGAATAGTTTTGATTCTTGACCTTAAATTTTTGTTCAAACCTAATCCTTTTTTATCAAAACTCATAAAGAAATTATTTCTTATAATATAATCTTCTTAATACCAAAATTTTCATACAAATTTTAAAGATCCATCACATTTGTTTGATTAACATTTTCCATGTGAAAAAAAAAATTTATTTTTTCTCCAATTAATTATGTTGCTATATTTTGTCTAATTTCTTTCATATGGCTTAAAGGCCCATCCTAAGATCGATTTCTGGCTCCGCCACTGCTATCACCTCACAATTTAACGTTAATTATCGTGCTAACATTATAAAGTATTGTGCAAAAAATATGAGGTGGCAGAGAGTCCACAAAGAGTCTTACTTTTGAGAGTCTTCTTAGTATTTCTTAAGAAAGTTTGTTAAAATCAAAGTTCTAAAAAGCGTCAGGCACTAGTCAAGTGGCCGAGAAGAAGCCCAGGGTTTTTTTTTTTTTAATTTTAAATAAATTTATCATATAAATATATATATGACACATCCCAACCCGGCATGTCCACTTGGACTCCGAATCGAGTTGTGTTGGTCGTCACCGGAAGGGTGACGAAGCCATAAAATGTAGTGATGTGGAAAAAGTGAGCGAATTTAAACCTAAAAGTGTCTAAATGTAAGAGTGCGCTAGTGAGCGGGAATGAACCCATTCCACATGTGATGTCAGAGTATAAGTAAAGCAGTAGAGTAGATTGAGAATTATACCATTGGAAGTAGTCTTTAATATCTACTTTATGCCAGCAATCCTCATCGACACAAAATCTACCACTAAAACCTGGAAGGGCGAAAAATAAGGGTAAGTGAGCCTAAAAATAAAGCTTTGTAAAAACCTTTCTGAAAACATATTAACCCCTCGCCGTAAAACAAGTATAGTTTCCAAAACATACATACTACGTATAGTATGAAAATACTTACCATAGCCTGCAATATCTCAAGAATTCAATACATCATATATTTGTAAATAAGCATATAACTTCTAGTAATCACAATATCTCGCAGAAATAAACATATCACATCGAGTGCTCATCGACACATGTTGACACACAAGTTCATGCACAAATATTCTGACATGAACATGACTCGGTGTAATAATGATTTACGCTATATTACTACAATCATGTGAAGACTGGCGCTATGCGCATCACACACAAGTCCTAATTGCCTATAGCAATCTAGGACAGGATCCAAAGTGAGCATACGATGTGATGTGAACATACACGTGAAAATTTGGCCCTGGCCTGGACGAGTACTAACACCAGTGTAGCACACGATGAGCAGATAGCGTAAATAAAATCATACAGTGGAAATTGATAATTCACGTCACCATAATACTATTCACAACCATAAATATAATTAAGGCATCAATAATAATACGCATATATGTGCATCCCGTAGGACGTAGCATAATTTCATAATTTCTATCAATGCGGTAATTCTTATACACGTCAAGCTAATCTAGGTGTATCATAGCAAATTCTTTATGAAATATATAAATGGAAACTAACAAATACACACACACACACACACACACACACTACATAAAAGAAAAGACCTATGTAAACACGAATTTTCCTAAAACAAGAACACATGTACAAAATAATATTTTGTATCGATTTTGGGGTTACAATCTCTTTTACAATTTGATCCTTTGATTCTATCTTCGTAAATGTAGATCTATGGATGGGTTGTTGATCCAAAAGGCCGTCGGGGCTTGGTCTAGGGATAAACAGTTGTGCAGATTTGTTGATGTTGTTGATCTAAAGGGCCGTCAGGGCTTGATCTTAGGATGAACGGATCTTCAATGGCCTTCAAGGCTTGATCTAGATGAACAGTTGATGAACGGATCTTCAAGGGCTTTTGGGCTTGATCTTAAAGAATGGGCGTGTGGATTTATTGATGTTGTTGATCCAAATGGCTGTTGGGGCTTGATCTTAGGATGAACGGATGATGAACGATGAACACTTTCTTCAAAGGCCGTCAGGGCTTGATCTCGAAGGTTGAGGAAAGTTTCTTCAAGGGCCGTCGGGGCTTGATCTTGAAGGAGGATTTGACGAAGAATGAAAAGGGCTTTCTTGATCCTTCGGGATTTACTTGAGAACTTTAGAGTTTCAAAGCTTCAAGGTTTTGGTGTGATGTGAATTGGTGAAGTGAAATGAATGAAATTGGCTTCTATTTATAGACTTTTTCAAGGCCTAATTTTGAATATAATATTCAGATGAAATAAATCATTTCTGCTAGGTGTTGACACATGTCCTATTTGATGACTTTTTTGATTTTGTTCGATTTTTTGTTGAGTTACATGATACGTGTAAAATTTATGTGATACGTGAACGTTGAAATTTTAATTATTGGTCAACATTTATTTCACCGAAATTTCGATAACTACAACCTAGTCACATGTTCTTGCGATGTCACATCCGTTCGAATTAAGAAGGCCGGAATCTCCGATAGTAATCGCACAAAAGCATAATATTTTAAGGCCTGTTAGTAAAAATCAACTAAACCAACTAAATTTGGCAAAATAGAGTGCATATTTGGAATCAGAGCGTCGAATTACGCTAAGAAGGGTCCCGGGCAAATTTCGTAAAAAGTCAACGATCGACCTTAAGACAATCAAGACGCCGAGTCGGTCAACTATGTTAAAACTTTGGAATTTCACTAAATGGATGTCAAAAATGAACTCGGGGTGCTGAAATTAGCCTTGAAGCGTTTTTGAAATTTTTTTGAAAAAAGTCAACATAAGGAATATTCCTAGAATTTTCTGAGCCTATTTCGAAACTGGGTCAGGCTGGAACAATGGCCAAAAGGTTTGGGCTTATGCCTTTTTTTTTTCTCAGGTCGGGTTGACCCGTTGGACTCATGGGCCACACAGCACTCACCGAACCCAACAAAAGAGAAAGCCAGATCTGGGCTTTTGGCCAGAAAATTTCAACAGCTCCAAACAACTACAAATCTCCACTAAAACTAGCAATCCAATATATCAATTTGAAGCCTAATAAACAAGGAATCGAAAAATACCATTGAGTTCCTCGACCATGGTCGGAGTTGGCCGGAAAAGTGCTCGAAAGCCTATGGATCTCCTTCGAAAACTAGGGAAGTTTCCCCCGAGGCATTTCTGCATGAAAATGTCGCCAAAACATCTCAAATGTTGTTACACCCCACCCCCAA